ATATGGCCAGAGTTAACCCCCCTGCCACATCAGGAGAAATTTTGGAAATTCAAAATTTTTGAATTTTGAAAATTAAGCAACATGTTCTTGAGCAGAGTTAATGAAGAAATTAAAATTAACGGGGGAAAAAAGGGTATGAAGATAAAGTTAGCATTAATGAATCATGCTTGTAATACTAGCTATTCAGCTGAATCTAAGGATCTCAGTTTAAAGTCAGTCTGGGCAGAAAAATGTGTTGAGACTCTTATCTTCAATTAACAAAATGCCAAAAGTGAGGTATGGCTCAAATAATAATAGTGCCAGCATTGAACAAGAACAAGAGTATATAAGACCCTGAGTTTAAGCCCTAATACAGGCATACAAAAAAGAGAAAGAAAGGGGGGGGGGAGAGCAAGAAAGAAAGGGAAAAAAGAGAAAGAAAAGACAAAAAACAAAAATGGAAACACAAAGTACCCAAACTCAGAGTACTGCAAAACTATTTGTTTTTTTTGGGGGGGGTCTGGTCGTGGGGTCTGAACTCTGGGCCTGGGCGCTGTCCCCCAGCTCTTTAGTTCAAGGCTAGCACTCTACCACTTGAGCCACAGCGCCACTTCCAGCTTTTTTTTTTTGTTTATGTGGCACTGAGAAATGGAACCTAGGGCCTCAGGCATGCAAGGCAAGCGCTCTACCACTGAGCCACCTTCCCAGCCCCTACAAAACTATTTCTAAGACAAAAGTTCATGGCAACAAATATCCATATCAAAAGTTGACAGATTTCAAATAACTATTTATTCCTCAGTTATGGAAAGAAAACAATAAAGATGGGAGCAGAAACAGATGAAATAGAGACTAGAAAAATATGAAAGATCAAGGAAATGTTCACTTTCTTTTTGAAAGCTAAGTATGACAGAATACATGTGTAAGTCCAGCACTACAGTCTGAGACAGAGAATCCTGAGTGTGAGGCTAGCCTGAGCTACATTGTAAGACCATCTTACTTTGAATCATTCTGAACAAATTGGGTAATTTATAAGAGATGAGTAAATCCTAGACAACCTAATAAAACTAAGAAAAGAGCAAGACCAGGGCTAGTATAAAACTCAACTGTAGAATCTTTGCCTGGTATGCAAGGTTCTGGGATAGTACTGGAAAAAACAAAAACAAAGAAAATCTGAACAGACTAATAATGAATTAAAAAGTTTTCTAAGAGGTTGGGAAATGAATGAAAAAGTCTCCTAACAGGTTGGGAGTATAGATTAATGGTACAGTATCAGCTCAGCATGTGTGAGTCCTGAGTTCAACACCCCAGGAACAGCCCATGACATTTCCTGGCCCATAATATCTTAACCCCTATTTTAATTAGGAAGCTTCAAATTATGACATGCGTGACTTGTAAAAGGCAGACAAGTGTAACATGGTAAGAGTTGGTGCCCACAAACATGAAGTCCTAGGAGTTTGCAAATCTTTCCTTCCTATCTTCTACTACTAGAGTATCAGGCCATACTAGCACTTCACTATTTTTCACTCTCCAGCGCTCCCCCGCCTCCTTTCAGGAATGTTATGAGTTAGTGGGTGGTTAGCAAGACCCCCTCAGAAACCAATGGCCATTCCAGAAAAATAATTGCTCACATTCCAAGAGCTGCCAACAAGAACAGCTTCCCAGTAGCATGTTTTAGTAACCTTAATGAAGCAGAGAGCAACGCCCCCCTCTGCAATAGCAATTCTGGCTGGAAGAAAGGATCTACAGATTGTGGAAAAGTACAACTTAAAAAGCAAACACCACAGGCGCCAGCAGAGCAGGAAAGCAAGCAGAGATTTCTAAATACAGAGCTCCATTTTAAGACTTCACTGTACCTTACTTCTCACTATCATCGTTTGCTTGTCAAAAATAGAACCTTCCATGTCTTGATCCATTCAGAATAAGCCACAGCAGGCACAGCTCTGCTTACACAGGACAGGCAGGTCAGAAAGGCCGCTTGGGGAAATGGAAAAAGCAGCCAGCAGGTTTTCTTAGGGATTACACTGCTTCAGCTTTTATCCTTCTCCGGAGCTGAGCTATTCCAGTGCCAAGAAAGCTACAGGGAGGTCTTTGCTATGCTCTGCAAAAGCTTCAACTTTCCACAAGCAGGGCTGAAGGGGTCTCAGGGTTGCAACTCCCTCTACTGCCCAGTGTTTTCCTTCTGAGCCGTAGGCAGTTGAGCAAAGTTCCTTTATTCAACATAACCAAAAAGGGATAAGCTTAGAGGAGAGGATGGTAGCTGGAATGAAGTTTTAACAAAAACTGGCTCCTACATTTACCTGACATCTCAGAAAAGGCTTTATTCTGGCTAATAAAAATTCTCTCTTATAAACACATAAAAAAAGGAGCTTCCAGGAAATGGTTACAAGGTTTTCTCTTCGTTGTTTTTGTGTCTTGCTCCTGTTTATCTGTCTTTGGAAGAGCAAGAGGGGGCACAGAAATGGAGGGAGAGAGAGTAAACAAATGTAGCAATGATACTCACTGGACACTATGTTGAAAATGAACTATATAAATTGTAGGTGGAGGGGCTGGGAAGGTGGCTCAGTGGTAGAGCACTTGCCTTGCATACATGAGGCCCTGGGTTCAGTTCCTCAGCACAACATAAAAAGAAAAAAAGCCAGAAGTGGCACTGTGGCTCAAGTGGTAGAGCGCTAGTCTTGAGCTGAAGAGCTGAGGGACAGCGCCCAGACCCAGAGTTCAGGCCCTATGACCGGACCCAAAAAAATAAAAAATTTAAAAAAAAATAATAAAGAGCAAATTGTAGGTGGAGACCAGAGGAAAAAAACTGGGAGAGAATAAGGGCTGACACTATATAAAAAGATATGTAGTCTTTACCTGACTTACATAACTGTAACCCCTCTGTACATCACCTTTATACTATTAAGAATTTTTTTTTTAAAAAAACTGGACTTTTGGGCTATCCTCACATTTTTGGGTCTATTTGTTCTAGAGTGATAAAAACTGAACCAGCGCCTTGTGCATGCAAAATACACTACCACTGAGCTGCAATTCCTCAGCTCCTTACCCAGTTTTAATATTGAGGGGAGAGGTTGCCGAGCTTGCTCAAAGCCCTAGGCTCCTCCTCCAGCACCAGACAAGAAAATAAAGACAAGCTTTATTCATCTTTCAAGATCCAATTTAAGTAGCACCAGAACATGTTTTCTTTGGCTGGTACAAGGTACAAGCCTCATTATTATTCAGCTGGTACTCTTACCATTTGAGCCCCAGGCCCCAGTCCCGCTTTTGCTAGGTAGAAATGGGAGTCTTGTGGATTATTCTGCCGGCTGGCTTCAAATTGCCAATCCTCTGGATCTGAGATTCCTAAGTAGCTAAGATCACAATGTGAGAGACCACATCCTCCAGGACAAAACTAAACTGGGTGTGGTATGCCTGTAATTCCAGCACTGAAGTCTGAGGCAGGAAGACTTGGAGGCTTTGGCTTTGGGTGAGATGCCATCTCAAGGAAAAGAAAAAAAAAAAACAAAAAACCTGAAGTCAACCTATTTCACTGTATTTACTTAACTTTGTGCCTAGGTAACAGCAGATGCTCAGCAGCCATTAACAGCTTACCACCGTGAGCTACCTGTTCACATGAGAATTAGGAAAGACATTAAGAGGAACCAAAAATCTCAGAAGAATGAAACATGTATGCCTTGCCAATATACTATTACTCTGGATATACCTATTAAATTCACCAGCTCTGTGGCCTCTAAGACTACCAAGCTCTTAGTCACCTTCCTGTTAAATCCTAAGATCTTATTTTGACTGTACTGTGTGTATGTATTATGTACTGGGGGTTCTGAACTCAAAGTCTTGTCTTTTGCTTGGCTTTCTTGCTCTCAGCCACTTGAGCATACTTCCAGGGCTTTTCTGTGTAAGCTAGCTTTGAACTGCAATTCTCAGATAAGGCTAAGTAGCTTACACATGTGAGCCACTGGTGCCCAGATATCTTTAATGTTCTTCAAAAAACACCTTATTCTTTGTTTATACCCAAATAGCACTCATTCTGATCCTTTTTTTGTGTGGCAGTCCTGGGGCTTAAATTTAGGGCCTGAGTGATGTCCCTGAGTTTTTTTTCTTCCTTTTCTCAAGACTAGCATTCTATCACTTGCACCAAAGCTCCACTTCTGTCTTTTTTGGTGGTTAATCAGAGGTAAGTCTCACAGACTTTCCTGCTGGGTTAGCTTTGATAGCAGTCCTCAGATCTCAGTCTCTTGAGTAGCTAGAAGGGGTGTGTGCCACTGGTGTCCAGTCTCCCGTTTTGTCTTAGTATATGTACACCAGACTGGCTTCAAACTTGAGATCCTCCTGCCTCAGTTACTGAGTACTGAGTTTATAGGTATGTACCACCATGCCTGGCTTCTCACAATTCTATTTGTGTACTTTTGGTGCTGGGGATCAAACTGAGAACCTCATATTTAAGCAAACACTACCACTGAGCGAACTCTCCAACCTTCACATTGTGATCTTGGTTCCCAGAAGACCTCATAGTGTGCTGGTAAGTGCTGAACAAACAATAGGGCTCCCATGCCCTCTGCCTATTTCACTTAGAAATTCAAGAGTTCCGGGGGGCCTAAACCCTTTGCTAGGCTAGTTATAAGAATGAGATGTGACACTGAGTCAATACCCTTGTTTATTTCTGATCTCTCCTTTCCTCTGTCACCCAACACTGAACGCTTGCCTGTCAGCTACAATTCCCACTCTGTGCCTCAAAAACACGCAGGTTTCTGTTATGAAAACAGCATATTTGGGGCTGGAAAGGTGGCTCAGTGGTACAGTGCTTGCCTCGCATGCATGAGGCCCTGGGTTCGTTTCCTCAGCACCACATAAACAGAAAAAGCTGGAAGTGGCGCTGTGGCTCAAGTGGTAGAGTGCTAGCCTTGAGCTGAGGGGCAGACAAAAAAACTCCAGCATATTCCCAGAATTGCCAACCCTTTTAACTGTCACCCCCTAAAAGTGCCATTGTATGAGGTCTTTACCACTGGATACAAAGAAACAATATGAACTTAATAAAAACAATCCCAAGGCATTTATTGTCACCTGATGATAACACAAGGTCATCAGAACTGTGCACACTAACAACGGGGCTCATCAAACAATATGAACAGATGTTTTCTTAGATTCCCAGCAAAGAACACTAAAAAAAAACAAAAAACAAAACAAAAAAACACTGTATAAGATTCTTAATAACTTCTCACTTCATTGATCATTTCTAGTTGGAGACACTTTGTAGTAGAGTAATATTATCTCCTTTTAACATGATCCGACCTGCAACAACAAAAAAAGTTATTAATACCAGAAACTTACATCCATTTATTAAAACACTGAAAATATTTCTCTCAAGTGGAGAAACATTAACTAAGAAACAGGCTAATCAACACATCTTAACAAGCTCAGCACATCTTATCTTGTATTTTAAGTAAAATCAAATTAAACCCTAGGCTTAATATTAATAGAAGTACTCACTATTTGATCTCAATTCTAAAGACAATGACAACAGCATAGACAAAAATATATGGTAGGAACCAGGCGCTGGTGGCTCACACCTGTAATCCTAGCTACTCATGAGATCCGAGGATCACAGTTCAAAGCCAAGCCCGGGCAGGAAAATCCTTGAGACTCTGATCTCCAATAAACTACCAGAAAACCAGAAGTGGTACTGTGGTTCAAGTGGTAGAGCGCTCACCTTGAGCTGAAGAGCTCGGAGACAGCACCCAGGCCCAGAGTTCAAGCCCCACAACCAAAAAAAACTGTGTGTGTGTGTGTGTGTATAAATAAAATATAGGGCTGGGAAGGTGGCTCAGTGGTAGAGTGCTTGCCTCGCATACGTAAGGCCCTGGGTCCAATTCCTCAGCATCACATAAGCAGAAAAAGCTGAAAGTGGCGCTGTGGCTCAAGTGGTAGAGTGCTAGCCTTGAGCTGAAGAGCTGAGGCCCAGAGTTCAGGCCCCACAACTGACCTCACGCACGCACGCACGTGCCTGGCTCAGGCCAGAGGAAGTGAGAATGAGGCCAGTTTGGGAATACATGATAGGGCACACTTATAATCCCAGCACTGGGGAGGCCAAGGCCAGAGGATTGAGAATGAAGCCAGTCCACACATATACCAAGATCCTGTCTAAATAAAACACAAACCTTAAAATATGGTGGAGCAACGAACCAGAGGAAGACAAGTGTGGAAAGCTCAGAAAATAAAGACAGTGTAAACAGATGAGCAGAGGCAGACAAAGCCAGTGGACACGGGGCCCTGCAAAACACACGAATGGTTTTCTCACTGTCATTTTGTCATTGTCATAAGAGCAACAGGAAGTCAAAGAGAATTTCAAGCAGAGAGATGTCAAGTGTTTAAAGATAGTTGAAGCCCAGAGAGTAAGGTGAAAGTGAGCGCCACATAGGAACCAATCCATGGGCTAAATGTGAACTGGTGCCATCCTTCCTGTAAGGCGGTGAGTACTGAAATGGCCCCAAACAACACACAAATAGGAGCTGAATTTGATATGACTTTGATGAGCCTCTGAAAAGTTCTCATGTAGACATGCTAACCAAGCTCAAGGAGAGGCCAGGGCCTCAGATATGCAAGTCAATACACAGATGGTGACTGAAGTGAGGTCTTGAGTGCCTAGGAAAACAGTACTAAGGACCAAGCCCCATGCAATTCAAACATTTATGGGCTGAGTCTCAAGGGATGAATATACAAATGCTTCAAAAGGAATAAACAAAGATGAAAAATGAATCAAATGGTCAAAGCATTTCAAGGAGGGAGTGGCCAGCATGGTCAAATATGTTTACAGAATCTGAAATGAACACTACGACTATTAGGACTTAATACCATTAGCTTTTGGTGAGCTTGCTCAGAAAAACAGAAGCAGAAAGGACAACTTGGCAGCGGATGGCTTCTCTCTCAGTAAGCTCTCAAAGGAAAAATTTACACATGAACTGGGTTCAGGCCATTGGCTTCTCCAGTAAAACAAATACATCTACAATTCTGTAAAGCTAACTATATACTTACCCAGTTGTTTTCTTGTCTTTGTTTTAGAATGAATTTCTTCTGCATCATCTAACACAAGGTTCATGTATTCATCAAAACCCTAAAAAATAATTTAACTGTTATTTTCACGTAAAATCAGATCCAAACCATTCTAAGATTATATAACCAGATACAGAAATGCCTCCTAACTGTAGGAATTCAATAGTCATCCACTGATCTTTTAGCAGCAATATACCTTTCGTTATTTTCTTTTCATTTTTGGGGTGGGAGGGGGTCCAGTACCAGGGTTTGAATTCAGGGCCTTGTGTTCCTCTTCCTTGCTAAACTGGTGCTTTCTGTCTTAAGGGACACCTTTAGCCCAACTTTTTTTTTTGGGGGGGGGGTCCAGTTGTGGGGCCTGAACTCTGGGCCTGGGCGCTGTCCCTCAGCTCTTCAGCTCAAGGCTAACGCTCTACCACTTGAGCCACAGTGCCACTTCTGGCTTTTTTCTTTTTGCTTATGTGGTACTGAGGAATCGAACCCAGGGCCTCATGCATGCAAGGCAAGTGTTCTACCACTGAGCCATCTTCCCAGCCCCTAGCCCAACTTCTTATTGGTGAACTAAAGATGGAGTCTCCCAAACTTTTCTACTCAGTCTGGCTTCAAACTGTGTCCCTCAGATCTGAGCCTTCTGAACAGCTACGATGACAGGTGTGAGCCACCAGTACTTGGCTTGAAGCTTCTTTTTAAAAACAAACCTAGCAAGTAGGAGACACCTAATTCAATCCTCAGTGGAGGCAGAGTGTGGGGTGAGAGTGAGCCACCAGTACTTCACTTGAAGCTTTTTTTTTTTTTTTTAAATCGAACCTAGCATGCAGGAGACATCTAATTCAATCCTCAGTGGAGGCAGAGTGTGGGGTGTGAGTGAGCCACCAGTACTTCGCTTGAAGCTTTTTTTTTTTTTTTAAATGAACCTAGCATGCAGGAGACATCTAATTCAATCCTCAGTGGAGGCAGAGTGTGGGGTGTGAGTGGGGGGTTTGGCCAGAATGTGGTCCCTATTATTTCTCCAACCTTGTAGACTCAGTATTTCATTTGCTATACTAGCAAGCCATCCTCCTTCCCCTTTTACAACCTGTCAAACATAGTATGTGTGTACATAGACGAACTACATTTTACTACCATTGCTCTTGATATGTGCTCCACAAACACTATCATCCCAGTTACATGCTTTGAGCAGGGGGAGATTACTGATGGAATCTCTGACACCAAAGTCTCCTAACATAATTATGTCTAGCTATATATATATTTTTTCAAAGCATTAAGACTAGGAATGGTGTTCACGCCTGTAATCCTAGTACTCAAGAAGCTGGGACTACTTAGCAAGACTTTGTCTCAAACAAAAAACTGCCGAGCTGGGGGATGGGTTAGTAGTAGAACAAGTGCTCAGCATGTGAGAGGCTGAGTTTGATCTTCAGCAAAAAAGTACAAAATAAAAACAAAGTAGAAAAAAAATAAAACCAAAACCAAAACCATTGCTTAACACACTGTGCTATCCTGGAATTTACTCCACCAATTCTATTCAGGAAATACCTAGCCCAGACCGTCCTCTAATTCTATTGTTCACATATGAAGTTTAATTTTCCTCTCTTCCCCCAACCCAATATCACTATCAACCAAACAAGGAAAAAAGTCCAAACAGTGGGCCCTGAAAAGCTTTGCTTGGGTTAGTCACCCCCCCACCCCCCGCCTTTTAAATACACTGCATGCTAGCCATTTTGTAGTCTTTTTCTATTAACAAACTGCATTAAGAAAAAGTGAGGGTACTTACAATGATGCAGCCCTCTATCCGCATATTCACTTGCTCATAGAGCCACACCTGAATCCGAGATCTCTGACATAAGCAAAAATAAATAAAACAGTAAGCAATTATTTCTATCAATAGAAAATTCCATCAATAGAAAATGACTCCTTTAAAACTTATTGAATATAAGCCAAGAAATTTAACTAAGCAATCCATATCTAACAGTAAACAAACCAGTTATCTGCTAAAAAGTTTCATTTAATAACTGGTATCTTGGGGCTGGGAAGGTGGCTCAGTGGTAGAGTGCTTGCCTTGCATGCTTGAGGCCCTGGGTTCGATTCCTCAGCACCACATAAGCAAAAAGAAAAAAGCTGGAAGTGGCGCTGTGGCTCCAGTGGTAGAGCACTAGCCTTGAGCTGAGGGACAGCGCCCAGACCCAGAGTTCAGGGCCCACGACCGGGACCCCCCCCCAAAAAAAAACAAAAACAGCTATCTTGACAATGTCCAAATAAGTCATTTTCCTGAAATCCTGGCAGGTAACCATATTTCTTACTGCTTCTCAACATATTTAAAATGAAAACTGGTGAGAGTATGTGTCTGTATGTGGATAAGTTACCAGACAGTAATTTTTTTTTTTGCTGGTCCTGGGGCTTGTCTTGCTCAACACTAGCACTCTGCCACTTGAGCCACAGCACCACTTCTAGCTTTCTGTTTATGTGTCACTGAGGAAACAAACGAGGGCTTCATGAATGCTACGCAATCACTTGACCACTAAGCCACATTCTCAGCACCCCTGAGCTTTTTTTTTTTGCTCAAGGCTACCACTCTACCACTTGAGTCACAGCACCACTTCTGGCTTTTCCTTAAGTTTATTGGAGATAAGAGTCTCAAGGCCTTTACTGTCTGGGCTGGCTCTAAACTGCAATCCTCCTATCTAGGCCTCCTGAGTAGCTACGATTACAGGCATGAGTCACAGGTGCCCAGCTTAGGCAGTAATTTCTATTGACCAAAGGCTTATTTGCCATAGCAAAATCCAGGTCCAAAGCAGGGCTTGTAGGTTCGGTATTCCATGATACACACTTAATCAGGGGAAGACACTAAACTCTGGCAATTAAAAATTGAAATGGCTTGGGATGGGAAGGTGGCTCAGTGGTAGAGCGCTTGCCTTGCATGCATGAGGCCCTGGGTTCAATTATGTGGCTCAGCACCACATAAGCAGAAAAAGCCAGAAGTGGCGCTGTGGCTCAAGTGGTAGAGCACTAGCCTTGAGCTGAAGAGTTGAGGGACAGCACCCAGGTCCAGAGTTCAGGCCCCACGACTGGACCCCTCCCCACCCCAAAAAAATTGAAATGGCTTAATCTATTTTCACACTCTAAATTTCTCCGAATCTACTCTTCCCCTCTTCCCTTTCTTCATTTAAGCTTCCCCACAGGTAGTAAACCTATGACCTAGGTAGTAAACCTATGACCTAGGTAGTAAACTATGACCTGGTTTAAGGTGACTAGGTTTCCGTTTCATGGTAAAGGATCTAACTGGGAAAGTCTACAATGACGACTATCAACACTACAAACAAAAGTACCACTAAAATTGTGAAATCATTCATTTTGATCAAAGTAATGACTCGGTTGGTTTTTTTGCATGCTTCGGAATTAGCAGAGATACACATTATTTTATTACACTAGAGCTTTCTACTAATCTCTTAAGTTCACCCATTTTTAAATTGTAGAACACTATCATCAGGAAAAGATGATACACACTGCCAAATGAAAACAACTTCTATTTAAATGGTGGCTGGTACACAGCAAACGTACTTACATTTTGTAAATATCTGAAGATAAGATTCTGAATCACCGTGGTTAAGGAAAAAAAAAAAAGTACACGCATAGTGTAGAGTCTACTCCCTGAAACTAAGCTTCTACCCAACTCCCCCCTCACTTTTTTCCTTTTCTTTCCTGACAGCGGGGTCCAGCTGCGCATGCACGGGGGGGGGGGAGCCCTACAGACTGGAAGACACCGCCCCCGCCCCGCGCCTTCCCTTCAGGGGCTGGAAGCCCGTTTTTCCTTCTGCCCAGGCCACTACTAACTCCTGCTCCCACCCGGCGGCTGTGACAGCCCGGGCCCCTTCTGCTGCTCCAGTCGCGCCTGCCCTCTGCACTCAGGGTCGGCGTGAACCCACAGCCCGCCAGGCCTGCCCTCCCGGCCGGGGTCGGTGCCCGCCACGCCTGCCCTCCCGGCCCAGGCTCGGTACCCGCCAGGCCTGCCCTCCCGGCCGGGGTCGGCCCGGGCCCGCCGCCCTCCCATCGCCGTCCTTCTCCGGCCCGCGCTTTTCCCGGGCTCGGCCGCCCCGGGGGCTCATGGGAGGCAGGCCCGCACGGAGCTCCGTCCAGCCTGCCCTCCGCCTAACACGCCCTCCCTGTTTTCTAGCTCCAGACACACCGCGGAGGATACGATGGGCTGCACCATCACCTTCTGCACCTTTTGGCCCTGGCCACGGTACGCCATGGTGGAATCTTACAAAGGCCACACGGACCAGCACGCCACCCTACGAGGCAACTTCCGGAACTGAGAACCGGAACCGGAAGTGTCTGCGGCCCAGCCGCGACCTGGGTAGCTCCTGGGAGGGGGGAAATGCCTCTCTAGCCACCCAGACCGTGTTCTCGATGCTTCCTAAGCATCCGGGGGCGACCAGATTGATGCCAAGCCGCGTCGATCCTGCAGCGCCCCCTGGAGGGAGGTGGGAGGGTCGCCGAGTTGCTTGGGTTGCAGGGCGGCCGGCCGGAGGGGAGGCCAGGCCCGGGCCCTCACTTCAAGTTCTGAGGCCGCTGTAAGAAGCAAAATCTTAGCAAGGGGTGGTGGGGCACCCCTGAAATTTCAGTACTCAGGAGATGGGAGCCGGAGGATGACTGGGCCAGACTGAGGTGTAAGGCTCCAGGCCCACCCAGCGTGGGGGCACATAGAACAATGGCATCTCTATTCTGTCCCTCAGGGCTGTTTTCCTAAGGAGATTTAGGCTTGGTGGTAGCCTAGTGGTGGGAAAGGTGGAGGGACTCCAAGCCCAGACTCCAAGCGTCCATCATGACAGGGGCAAGGTCCTAACCAAGTCTCATCTGACTCCCCTGTAAGCAACCCGGGGTAGGTGTTGCGTGTGTAGCCACGCTGATCTTGCTGGGCTCAAATCCAGGTCTCTGGGAGATCCAGGTCACTTGGCGTTGTGTGACCAAGAAGTTACTCAGCTTCATCCTTTCTGGCTCCTTTTCTCTTCTTTCCCTTCCCCTTCCATTCCCCTCCCCTCCCCCATATTCATTTAAGGTATATAGTATGGTTTAAAGAACTGACAATTGAGGGGCTGGGAAGGTGGCTCAGTGGTAGAGCACTTGCCTTGCAAGCCTGAGACCCTGGGTTCGATTCCTCAGCACCACATAAGCAAAAAGAAAAAAGCCAGAAGTGGCGCTGTGGCTCAAGTGGTAGAGCGCTAGCCTTGAGCTGAAGAGCTGACAGCACCCAGGCCCAGAGTTCAAGCACCACGACTGGACCCAAAAAATAAAAATAAAAAAAATAAAGAACTGACAATTGAATCAGGATGTAAGGCCAAGCTTATAATCTTCGCTACCCAGGAGACAGATCTGAGGATCACCATTTGAACCCAGTCTAGGCCGAAAAATCCTCAAGAGCTTATCTCTAGAAAAAAACAAAATCTGGGAGGTGTGGTTCAAGTGGTTGAGTGCCAACTTTGAACACAAAAGTAGAGCAAGAGTACAAGTTTCTGCTTGGGCTGGCTTTGAACTGCCATCCTCAGATCTCAGCCTCCTGAGTAGCTGGGATTATAGGTGTGAGCCACAAGGGCTGGGTTTGGCTTACTTGTTTCTGACATGGACCTTTAAATGTACTTTCTTCAGGGAAGTTTTGGAGACTCAGTGAAGTTAATGAACCGATGCTCCTGGAATTACGTGGCATTGTACTCAGATAAACACATGGTGAGTAGAAAGTGAGTTGAGCACACCTGACCTACTTACCTCCACAGCATGCAGCACAGTGCACAGTAGTGTCACCCTTCCCCTCATCATTGTGTAGTTGACCCATAGCCATAGCTGTCCAGCAGCTCCAGAGAGCTCCAGGGCGCAAGGCTAACCTGGTCAGTAGAAAGAACACTGAGTTCTTGTCATGGTTAAAACACCCTTCCCTGGGGAACACTAGTAAGTGGAGGAGCTGGAATCCATTAGTATGCTTGAATTAAAGCTAGTGCTCTACCACTTTGAACCACAGTGCCACTTCAGTTTCCTAGGAGTTTAAGAGTCTCATGGACTTTTCTGCCCAGGCTGGCCTTGAACCACAATCCTCAGATCTCAGCCTCCTGAGTAGCTAGGATTACAGGTGTGAACCACTAGCACCTGGTGCTCACCCAGCTTTTTAATACCCTAACTTGTGGCCTGACTGAAATTACATTGAATTTGAATACCCACTTTATAGATGAGGAAACTGAAGCTCAGAATTGAAGAGACTTACTTATGGGGATAACACAAGGTAAATAGTAAAATCAGATTTTGCTTAGCTGAGTTCTTTTAAACAGGAATAATATGAATGTCAACTTTCTGAAGGTATGAGGGGGCACGGCTTAAGTGGTAGAGTGCTTGCATAGCCTGAGAGAGGACCTGTGTTTCAGACCCTAGTACCCGACACAAAGGCATTGAGATGAAGTTAAACTACCGAAAGCTTAAGATGTGTCTCACTCCAAATACAATAGGCTTATGTGCTGGATTTACTAAAAGGTAGCATGAGCTGGCACAGGTGGCTCACCTGGAATCCTAGCTACTCAGGAGGCTGAGATCTGAGAATTAAAAGTTTGAAACCAAACTTGGGCAAAAAAGTCCTCAAGATTCTTCTCTGCAGTTAAGCACCAAAAAGCTGGAAGTGGAGCTGTGGCTTGAGTGGTAGAGCACCAACCTTGAGCAAGAGAGCTCAGGGACAGCGCCCAGGCCCTCAAGTCGCAAAATTGGCATGTGCACATGCACGCACTCACATACAAGATTAACATGAACAGAATAAAACCCATTCCATCTCATGCAGTTAAAAGCAGAGAAGTTTTGTCATTTCTCTTTTGGTGTGGATGTGATTTCTATACACGTGGGTTGAATCTTATAACTAATCCTTTAATCATACAGTTTATCAAAAGTGCTATGCCACTTGAACCACACACACACACACAGAGCCATTTTTGCTTTGGTTATTTTTGTAATGAGAGTCTCACAGTTATGTCCTGGCCAGGTTGGGTTACCAGCTTCCTATTTATGCTTCCTAAGTAGCTGACAGTTATGCAACACTGCACCCAGCTTTTATTGGTTGTGATGTTGTTTTGAACTCTTGGGCCCAGCTAGCCTTGAACTTTGATTGTCCCTGAGTGAGCCGCCATGGTAGCTTTGATTTCTTCTTTGTAAAAACAAAACAAAAAAACAAAGGTTTTTGGCTGAGTGCCAAAAACCTCGCTATTCAGAAATCTAAAATCTGGCCAGATGCTGATGGCTCATGCTTGTAATACTAGATACTCTGGAGGTTGAGATCTGAATATCGCAGTTCAAAGCCAGCTGGGCAGGAAAGTCTGTGAGACTGTTCACAATACAAAAAAAGCAAGTGGCTCAAAGTGGTAGAGCACTAGCCTTGAGCAAATACACTCAGGCCCTGAGTTCAAGCCCCATGACCACCACCAACAAAGTCTAAGACCTGGATTATCTCAGTTTGAAACCATCTTGGCTGGGCAGAAATATCTGAGACTCCATCTGCAGTTACCTAGCAAAATGCTGGTATGGAGGCATGGCTCTGATGGTAGAGTGTCATTAGAGCAAGAGCTCAGGGTCCTGAGTTCAAGCACTGTACCAGTACTCACATAAAAAAAAAATTGCTTTTTTCTTTGGTGGTTGGTAGATACCTCCAGCCCTGATTTTGGTTTTTAACATTATGATGTTTATAATTTCTAGACGTCTACTCACAATCACCATTTCTATCACCATTCCAAAACAAAACTATACTCCAGGGCTCTAGGCATGGCTCAGGTGGTAGGGCGCGCTAGCCTTGAACCAAAGTGCTAAGGGATTGCCCCTGAGTTCATGCCCCAGAACTGGCGCACGCGCACACGCACACACACACACACACACCCCAAACAAAAAACAAAATGGAACCTCTAACTCCTAGCCTTGAACCAAAGTGCTAAGGGATTGCCCCTGAGTTCATGCCCCAGAACTGGCGCACGCGCACACGCACGCACACACAC